GGAGAGACTGGAGCCTTCGGGCATCGCTGGTGGGAAAGTAAACCAGTGTGGTGACTGTGGAAAACAGGATGGTGGTTCCTCAAAAAGTTAAACACTCAGCAATTATACTCCTAGCTATATACCCGAAGGATTTGAAAGCTCAGAGACCTGAACAGATATTTCTATATCAATGCTCATAACAGCATTCCCAGCAGCCAGAAGTCCATTGACAGATGAATGGATAAACAAAACGTGACATATACATACAGTGAAATATCATTCGGCCTTAAGGAATGGAATTCTGATACATGCTACAACATGAATGAATCTTGGACATTACACTAAGTGAAATAAGCCAAAGGACAAATATCGTATATAATTCCATTTATATGAGGTACCTGGAATAGTCAAATCCATAGAGACAGAAAGGAGAATAGTGGTTACGAGGGGGTGATAGGGGTGGAGATTTATTATTTAATGGGTACAGTTTCAGATTGGAATGACGAAAATGTTCTGGAGATGGTGGTGGTGATGGTTGCCTAACATGAATGCACTGAAGGCCACTGAACTGTACACTTAAAAATGGTTAAAATGATAAATTTTATGTGTATTTTATTGCAACAACAGAAAATAATTCATCCCTTCAAGGCTTGGTTCAAATGGTACCTTCCTCCTGCTTCATCCCAGCCTACAACCAACCACATCCGATATGCCCTTTGGTAATTATTTGTTTCATCAGTCAGAACCAGAGAAGACACTGTATGTGTGTCTGTGTGTGTGTGTGTTTCCTTTACACAGAAACCCCAAGAGGGGGAAAAAAATGGAAAAGCCATTCATGAATTCATTCAACAGGCATGATGGAGCACCTCCCACCTGGGGGGTGCTGTATCAAGCTCTGGGACAGAGGATCAACAAGATACAACCGAGGTCTACGGTACGAGTAGGGCAGACAGGGCAGGACTGCGCTGGTGGTGAAGGGGCGAGGGTGTGGAGGCTGAAGGGGGAGGGGGCTGTCCTCAGAGGGAGTGCCTTTTGAGCTGACTTTTGAAGAGTGGCTAGGGATGAAGTAAAGGATAGCGGCTGGATGGCGTGTGACCAGACATGATTATGAAAGAGCCTGGGTGGGGAAGTCGGGTTAGAGATGTCACTCCAATTCGACTGGCTTGGGCCTTGCCCAGCGGTGACCTTGGGCAATGACTTAAGGTCTCCCTGTGTGAAAGGGGGGACAAAAGTATCTGCCTGGATCACTGTGAGAATTAAACAGGATAAATTCTGTAAAGCAAGCCTTTCACCCCTCCTCACTGTGTCAGCTGGAGAAGCCCCCTTGTGGTTGAAGAAACCTCTCTGCTGCTGAGAAGGTGTTGAGGAATTGCCAGAGAACAAAACCTTCTGCTGTTCGGTTGTGTGGCCCCGATACCTTCAGCCACCCACTCAGAGGGCCCTATGCACCCCCTCCACACCTCAGCCGAGCTCGGTAGGAACGCCCACCACCTAGACTCCGGGGTGGGGGCAGTCAATTTGGTCTCCGGACTGTCTGCATCAGTCCATCTCGGATCTTGCGGGTCTGGGCTGGGGTCAGTTATAGCACCTAGAGGGTTGAGAACGAGTTGGAAACCAGATCTTCTGACCTGGAGGCCAGAAACTCAATGAATGAGGGTATGAACGTGAGCGGCGCATTCGTGGGTGGAAGCTGCAAGGCGACTAAAGCTGTACGCAGGTTTTGGAGAAAAGCAGTGCCTGAGATTTCTACCGATGGCTTTTAGTAGTATTTCGGTTTTGTTCTTGGAAATGGCAGTGACTTCCCATTTTAAATTCACTCTGCATTCATCTCTGATTGATTTGTGTTTGTCTAGAGACTCTGGGATTTGCCAAGTCTCCGTCAATAAACTAGAGTGGACTTCGGACGAGGTACTTACAGGGCTGGATCCAACAGGGGAGAGGGGAGAGGAGGCCTGCCTGATGGAGGAAAAAAGATGCTGCCCCAGCCTGCAGAGAGCCGGCCGGGGGACGGCAAGTGCCTGCACAAATGGCCACCAGAGGACCTGCGGGGGTAGAGCCCTGTCCGGTTAGAGCCCTGGCAAAGACGGAGGGGTGTGACAAAGCACAGGGTTTGGAATGGGGAGATACGATTTTTGAGTCCTGGTTCCGGAAGAGAGCTTACTTGGCTTTGTGACTAGGGCTGGGCCCCTAACTTGTGTCTTCATTTGTAGGATGGGGATGGTTTAATCCCTGTCTTTTGTTCTTAGTGACCTCGGTCAGAGCCAGCCTGGCCCTCAGCCCCTCTGCGAGGGTCACGCCCAACAAAGCCCCTGCTGAGTGGGGCTGGACCTGAAACCGCCTTTGCGGGCCTCTGCTGACTGTTAGGGCTGGAATCTGGCCAAGAGTGGCTGGCGCCCAGACTTGGACTTGAGGCTGGTTTCAGAAGCGAGAGCCACGCCATCAGATTCCCCCTGAGCATTAGAAAGGAAAGCAGGGGCCCACTGACACCAGTCTGTAGACACCATGTAGGGACATTTGCAAGAGGAGGAAAGGGAGGGAGCAGGGGAGAGAGGGAAAGAGAACACAAAAAGGCAAGAGCACCCCCCGTCCTGACCTGGTTCCCCGCGCAGCTTGCAGGAGGCCCGCTGAGCATACTACCCGTCCTGTGGTTCCCTGTAATGTCCGCATTCCTGCCTCAACCTCCACTTTTTCTATTTCTTGAATCCCGAAGAGCCCAGCCCACCCGGAAGAGCGGCTGAGAGAATTAAGTAAAATAATGGATGAAGTTGAGGCCTCAGACCCGGGGCTCTAACTCCCCTGGAGGCACCAGGGGCCCTCGGCTGCTTTCTACCCCAACGCCCCCGCTTGCCATTTCTGCATCCAACTTAGGGACACTCATCTTTTGTCCTGCTGGTGTCCTTCCACTCCCAGTCCCAACAGCTGTCCCTTGAGAGCCCCTTGCCCACCTCGCTCAGGCTCCGTGCAGTGCCTGGCAGCCCCTGGCACCTAACAGGGCCTCGGGTAGTATCTGAGGGCTGACCGAGTGCAGGAGAGGTGACATTCTCCACCCACCAGGAAACCCTCGTCCACCTCGGCTCTTCCTTCCCCTCACACTCCGTGCTCGGGCACAGAGCCCTAACGTCACACTTCCTGCATATTTCTGCCCTCGGTCCTCTCCACCTCAGCCAGGTTTCTATCGCCCCAGTGACTTCTCCCCACTCGGTGCAACTGCCTTCTGCACTCTGCCTCCCACTCAGCCCCCCGGGGGGACCCAGGGCACTGTCACTGTTCGGGGCTGCCCGTCGTCTGGTTTTCAGATTACCAAACCTCTTTTGGGTCCTCAGGTGGGCTTGCGCCCGCCTCCCCAGCCTCACTATTTTCCACTCCTGGCTTTGCCTTTGTGGCTTTGGTGACAGAGGATTGTGATCCTGAAGTGGCTTTGTCCCCGCTGCCTCTCCTGTCTCCTCACTAGCTCCAACTCATCTCTTAAGACTTGCTCAGCCATCTCCTCCTCCGAGGATTTACAAGGCTTCTCCGGGCTGGTTGGGCACCCTCCACTGGGGGTCCCAGAGTCTCTTGTGCCTTTATCAGAGCACCCACCCGACTGCGTTGACTTTGTTCACCTGTCTGTGTGCTCACGAGCTGGTAACAGACAGCCTGGCCAGTGAGTGTCAGGAAAGCTTTGTGAACAAACGTCTGGAAGCAGCAGACGTGGGTTTAAAGCCTGCTCTGTTTTTGTTTTTGCTCTGTTGTTGTTTTTTAGCTGTGTGACTTTGGGCAAGTTGTCTAGTCTCTGTAAACTTTAGTTTCTTCAACTACATGATAGAAATAATAATAATCCCCGCATCACAGGATTACTGGGAAAATGAAAGGCAGAGCGTGTAACAGCCCTAAGCGCCATGCCCCACTTGTAGGGAGGGCTCCGTGGATGTTAGCAGCTAACACAACTAAGAAAAATATTTCTAAGACTGCCGGGGCAGAAGGTCTCCAAAAATCAGAGCTAACTCTGCTGTTCCGAGAAGAATGAAGAAATCTCTTAGAAAACCGCAACAACAAATCTTCTTTAATGTTCCTGCAAGAAAGTGGGGGAGACGTGCTGAAAAAGCCAGGCATCCTGCACGAACCATGACTGAGATTTTGAAGTGAACATCGAGAAGTTTAAAGGAAAAACATGGATCTCCTTTGGGGGCGGATGAGGTTGAGAGACTGGAGGGACAGATGGCAAAAGGTAAAGGTCAGAAGTGGGGCGCTCGGTGGCAGTGGCGCGGGGTGTACTTAGAGCCACGAATGAGCGAGCTCCTAGGGAGCAGATGCCACCCCTCCGGGGCGGTCAGGTGCTCCTGGACTTGTCCAGACGGCTCTAGGAATTCGAGTCCTCACGAGAGCCTAGAACAACGGCTCCCAGGGAGCCTGGGTCCCCGTAGAAGGCGGCAAGTAGACATTTTCAGACGCCCTAATGTGTGTGTTGCGACCGGGGGCGTGGTGGCTGCCCAGAGTGGGTGCTACGGGGTTGGAGCGATGCCCAAGGAACCGGGGCAGGCGCGGGGGCAGGGCTCGGGTGTCCCCACCCTGATCCCCCGGTCGTCTCTGGAGGAAGCCAAGGCATTAGCGCGCTGGCCCGGGGGCCAAGAGCCAGGCGCTCTAGGCACGCCTCTGCCTCCCGGGTTCGACCTCAGTCTCCTCCTCCGCGCAGTGGGTTTGCAGCCCCGCGGTTGGAAGAACTGCTCTTGTAGGCCCGCCCGAGCCGGCCCCTCGCCAGAACCTCCCCCAGGGTTCGGGCCCAGCCGAGTCTCGCTCCCTCCCGCCGCCCCCGGGCCCCGGACGAGGAGGCAGGAACGGCCAGGCGGCCGCGGGCGGGGAGCCGGGCCCGGGACGCGCACGGAGCTGGGCGCCGTGGGGCTCTGCGGCGAAGTTTCCCCCGCGGGGGCGGCGCGCCCGGCGGGGAGGGGGTCCGAGAGTCCCGGGCGCGGCCGGCGCGCCAGGAGGTCGGGCGGCGAGCGTGACCTCACGGGGAGGGGCCAGCGCGGCGGTCCGGGCGCAGAGCCGAGCGCCGAGAGCGCAGCGCCGGAGCCGAGCGGCCGGGAGCGCACGCCGCGGCCCCGATGGAGCGGTACAAAGGTGAGGGCGCGGGTCCCGGCGCTGCGCGCACGCACGGCAACCTTCGGCCGCACCGCGCGGGCTGGGAGGGCTGGGGCTGGCGGGGGGCGGCACCGCTGGCGCTTCGCGTCCCGCCGGGACTCAGGTGAGCGGAACCGGCGGCGCCCGCCCAGCCTGGACCTGGGCCGAACACCCGGGCGACGGCGGCGCCGCGGGCCCGACGAGGGGGCTCCTAGGTAGCGGCCGCGGCCCGGGCTCTCGGACTCTCCCGGGCGCGGAGGGCGGGGGTCGGCGTGGCGAGGCTTCCCACCTGTTAGAGGAGAGAGGGTGCGCTTGGCGACCCACCTCTCAAGCCCCCGGCCGCCCCGGAAAGATGCCGGAGCCAAGGAGGCCCTGAGTGAGTTGGGAACCGCGGCGCGCTGCTTGGGGGCAAAGGAGCAAGTCGTTGGGTCCTCTGGCCCGGGCGCCTGCCGGAGTGCAGGGCTGCCCGCGAACCCCCGGAAAGAGCTGAGCCGGAGGAGGGGGGCAGGTTTGCGCAGCTCCGCTCCCGCTGGGTCGGGCTGCCCCAGTCCTCCGGCCGCTCCGGTAACCGTCTCTCTCCGAGCCCTTCGCTTTTCCATCCCCAGACAGGGGTCGGGCGAAGTGGAGGGCACGGGGGGCCGAACGGGATGCCCGGCAGGTGGAGCGCGCGGAGGCTCAGCTCCGTGCGCTGCTGGGCAAGTTTTAGATTTGGCCGAGGGCGGGGATCTTGGCCAAACGCTGGTGGGCGGACCAGCCCGGGTCGTGCCCGCAGCCCGGCTAGCGCCGGCGCTCACAACCCCGGTGCCGGAGTCTAGAAGCCAAGGATTAAAGATTTTTTTGGAAAGAGAGTTTAAAGAGCTGCCCCTTAAGCGGGGCGCTGCGGACCCCCCCCCCTCCCACCCGCATCTCATTTGGGAAAGTCTCTTGCACTTCCTTGCCCTGGACTCGTTCCTGCCAAACCTGCGAGAGGAAATACTGTTTCTATATTTATTTTCCCCTGGGAGAGGGTAATAAAGGAGATTGCTCAGATTCCCAAGGAATCTCATTCCCGGTGGCTTCTCGTTTCTGAGACTGACATAAAGGAACCTTCTGGGACTGGCTTGAGTTCCCTAAACTAGTCGTGTCTGTTGATTTTTCCCCACTGCTTTTTCTCATCTGGCTCACCTGGTTGCAGGTGAGGGTGAAAGATTTACATTCTAGGCAGCCCTTCATGCCGAAGGAGAGGGTCTTTGCCAAGGGCACGGGAAGCCGACTGGGGGGACAGTGTTAAATTACTTGGCAATCTTTGGGTTCTTTCTGTGAACCCTCCCTGGAGTGCCTCTCTCATTTCTAACCGGGTGGGTTTTTGTTTTGTTTTGTTTTGTTTTTTACGTCCCAAATTCTGCGAGCATGTCAGTTTTGTGCTGGGATGACTGAATGCGTGTGCCCTTATGTGGTCTCAGGACACTTGAGGAGGCCACAGCCCCTCGCTTTGTAAAATGGCAGTTTGCTGCTCCCTCTCCCACTCGGCCTGCCCCTCTCGCCCTTTGGGAGGGACTCTCGCAGGGAATTCAGGACTTTAGCTGGAAGCGGGTGGCCTCCGAGGTCCCTCTTAGCTCAGGGTGTGCCTTTTCTGAATTGGGAAGTGAGGGAGTGCTGGCTCCGGTTTGAAGGTCCAGGGTACAAGCTGCTTTCTCAAATCCGCATATTAATCCAAGTTAGGGCAAATTATAACATTGAGGGTCTTCTTTCTAAATGCCCATTATTATCAAAAGCTTTTTTGTATTAATAGCTTTTGACTTGGCCCTTGACCTGAGAAAGTCTTTTTAGTTATCTTTTTGTCTTGGGAGTTTAAAATTCTCCCACCCTGGAGTATCAGGGGATTTTTGCCAACTGAAGGAAACTTAGTTTCCATTTCAGAGTGTTTGTTTTTGGTAACACATGTATCTGCCTTATCATTTTGCAGTAAATCAGAGAGTGATAAGTGAATACAGTTGAGAATTATCTGGATTGCAGAAGCTAATCCAACTCATCTTTTCCTGTTTGACTGGAGAGGGAGTGAATGCTAATGTCTACTAACTATACCTTTCAGCTGAGGAATTTAGGGATCCCCAGCCCCCACCCCAGGAACTTAGAAGTCCCCATTCTTCTGAGAAACCGATGACTTGTGTTTTGAACTCTCACTGAATTGAAAAGTTGGTCTGTGCAAAATGAAGCAGGTGGGCCCAGTCTGAGGTTAACCAGGGCAGCTCTAACTGGCATCTGTAGTCTTCTCTTGCTCATCAGAGGTTGAAGGTGTCTTTGTTTTTAAGGTAAGACTAAATAATTATGGAATGACTAGGTATCTTTTTAACAACAAAGTAAAACGGAAAAGCAAGATTTACCTGGGCTTTTAGAACATATAAAAATTATGAAGAAGAATTCTCATTTGTGACACTTTAATTTTGTTCCTGAAGTACCCCATTCTGTGTTTCTAAATTCCCAGTTTTGAGCTCTCCCAAATAGGTAGAATGCCTCATTGTTGTGTCCAGATTCTCAAAAAAAAATTTTTTTTTAAATTTGTAAGTCTTATAAAGCAGTTGATGTAGGAGAAATTGTTTTCCATGTTCCCTATCCTGTGATACATATTGTATATCCTCCAATACTAGCCTGTCATTTTTTTAAAGATTTATTTATTTGAGAGAGTGAGAATGAGAGAGAGAGAGAGAGAGAGAGAGAGCACATGAGAGGGGGGAGGGTTGGGAGAAGCAGACTCCCCGCTGAGCAGGGAGCCCAATGCGGGACTCGTTCCCGGGACTCCAGGATCATGACCTGAGCCGAAGGCAGTCGCCTAACCAACTGAGTCACCCAGGCGCCCCTAGCCTGTCATTTTTAAACTCAGATGATTTTCCATTGTTTTGTAGGATGTAAAGAGAGGTCTGGAGCTAAAGAGTGGTTGGAGTAGCACCCTCTGTCTAACGTAGAAACATTTCCAACTTTTCCCCCATCCCATCGAAGTCATTCTGTTAGATAGCCATGCCTCTCTCAAGCAAAAGCAAGGGGTAGGGGTGGTGAGAGACTATGTAGGGGTGTCTTCCCAGAGAGATGGAGCTTTTATAAGAGTTCTCATAAAAAGTGATGGTGGAGTTGCTATTTCTTGTATGTGAATCTCTTTGGTGTTGTGTAAGCAGTGCCAGCATCTACAGGGTCCCTTGAAAAGGTTCCCATCCTTGGATGTTTACATATTTATGACTCTCATAAGAGCACCCTTGGATCACGGTGCCCATTGGCTGAACTCAACACCATGTGGTCAAGGATTCTGGTTCCTATTGCTCTTCCAGCTGGTGAGTGTGTCCAGGGCCAAATGTGACTGACCTACTATCTGTGGATTGCACTTGGACCGTCCCCCCACAGAAGCTTCCTGGATTTGCATCACACTTGGATCTGAGCAGTCATGGTTGAGCTATGCGCTTTAATTTGGATCACAGTAATTGGTTGAAGGTGTCATCATTCTTTTTCTGTTTTTGTTTGTTTGCTTCTGAGTCAGATCACTCCATTCCCAGGAGAGGGCACTTTGTTCTAAGGTACTGCAAGGTAGAGATGAGCTGGGAAGAGTCAAGCTAGTAAAAATTATTGAAAGCCTAAACTGGTAGTGCTGCCATCTGTGGTCAGGGGAGGTTTGAAAAAGAAACACCAGCTAAGAGAGATGGGCGGACTGAGAATATTCATTTCAGAGGAATCATCTGGATCTTGTGTTTTCCATGCTTAGGAGCTCAGGTTTTTCCCTCTTGAAACTGTACCTCAGGCAGTGGTTCTTAACCTTAGCCACATATGGGAACCATCAGGGGACTTAAAAAGAAAACAAACAGGGATATGTGGGCCCCACTCAGGACCTTCTGACTCAGTTGGTTTAGGGATGCGGCTTAGCTATTCAGGTGTTCTGATGTGCAGCCAAAATTGAGAACCCCTGAAAAAAGATACGCAGTTAAATATCCACCTTCTTCACCTGGAAAATTAAAAGCAAGTGTGGAGTAAGACTGCTACCCCCTCCACACTCCCGTGATGTGCTTTAACCACATCTGTGATACCTGCAGAAATCGAATGTGATTCTCCTGAAGCTATCCTAGGCTTTAAAGGCTGTGGGAACACTGCTTCAAAACCATTTCAAAAGGGATGCTGCCCAATCCTAAGCTCAGGGTTTGCTCATTGTTGGACTTGACCCTGAGCCCTTCTGACTTTGAAGCTCTTAGTGTGGGAGTCCTTGATGCGTTGGCGATGGAATGGTCTGAAACCGAAATACTGAGGGGTCCCCTTTGGTGCTGAAGGGCCAGGCTGGGTGGCGCTGGGAATTCTGCTGTGGGCCCTTCCCCTCTTCTGAAGAGGTAGGAGCTCTGGGAACTGGGCTGGAGCCAAGCACAATTAAAGGGCCAGGAGGGGCCAACAAGCTTCAAAGCGTAGGAAGCTCTGCCAGTTTTCTTGCAAATCCCTTTAATGATGGGAAATGTTTCTCCAAAGACTTCTGTCATTCAGAGACGGGAGACTTTCCCCAAGCTGAGGGAGGATGGCACATCTGCCCAGGCCCGGGACGAAGCAGGAAGCAGAGCAGTCATGGCGTGAGGACGAAAGCGGTGGCTTGGGAATGGGGAGACCTGTGCCTTCGGTTTCCTTGGACAGGTCGCCGAGCGCTCCAGGCCTCAGTTTCCCCATCTAGAAAACAGCCTCCAGTGTTGGTCTGTCCTGACTTTCCAAGCACTCTTCAGTGCTCGTTGCTCTGTGGTCACTGAGGCATCTTTGGAGGAGGATGTGTCTTGAGAGGGAAATGAGGGAGGGAATGTGGGTAGCCCAGTGAAGGTCAGTTTAGGGTTGTGATTCTTATAAATACAATCAATTTCCTGGCGAGAGCCGAGAGTCACAGACAGTGGGAGAGAGACTGCCATCGGCCATGTGAGGAATTTGTTCCTCAAGGACTTGTGTGTGAACGCATCTCCAGAGATTGTTAGGGAAGGCCAGAGCCACCCTCCGAAACACAGGACTATTCACTC